ATCCGATCCTATATAACATAGAGCAGCGGGGTCAGAGTGATTAGAAAGCTATAATCCATAACACGTTCTTTGAAGAGGTTCATCAGTCACATTCTAGCTCACCTTTTCATAATTGTTACTGATTGAGGAATATTAACTATAACACTTTCTGTACATGTTTGTGGTGGATCCAAGTACACAACTGTTCTCTCTATATGTTTCTTATGTAAATTATGGTTACTAAGTATGTACAAACTTTATGTCATTTTACGTCATTTTATTCTCTATTATATTATGAATACTTGTGAACGTGAATGTGTTACATTTGTGAATGACTATGTCAAAAGGCAACCGCTATCGTCAGCGATGCTGCCAGGGTCGCCTTCGTATTGCTTTGTACTGCAATTTCAATATGATAAAAAAATTATATATATCCAAGTGCTGTTTCCCCTCACGTTTGTGTAAGGTTGTTACCCGGTCAGCTACTTCAGAGCTGGACATGACTGGGTGTATCTGTAATATCCGCGCTACAGGGCAGGCGTTACGGTACACTGACTCTCCGAAATGAAACTGAAGAGGGGTGCTTGTTCCAATGAAGACCCCAACAAAAAAACTCAACCATCAGTTAACTTTCCATGACTTTCACCAACTCTGTCTTGTGCAACGGTCTGTATGCTCGCTACAGAGTAACTTTCAGGCATGTTGGTATTAAACATTTTGCGGCTCCAAGTGATACTAGTATACATGCATATCAATTGATTGCTCCCTTGTTTAAAGTAAAACAACACAAAGAGCTCGAGATTCTCTCACCTAGAGCTTTCGACCAGTCACTCCGGTCTTCCTCAGTAGACTGACTAAGTGAGACTTGTCACGTGGCTTTTTTTAAGTATAACATCAGCACTGAGTCAAAGGCATCTTGTAGATGATGTCGCCCTCCGTCGCGATTGAGTGTTGACGTCACACTTCAAAGAAGCCACGTGACAAGTCTCACTGAGTCTGAGGAAGACCAGAGTGACGGTGAGAGAAGCTCGTTGTGCTGGATCAGAAGTTTCAACTTTAAACATGTACGAGTAACTACCAACACAGATGAACTTTCATGATGATTGCTCTCTTCTACACCAAGCCAATTATCATCCATGCGTACTTCGGGCACACGCACATTATATCCTAACGTCGCCGGCAATGAGGTATTATCTGTTAAGGAGGAATTCCTCCGACTACTCCCAATTCAACAATTATCACCGGCGGGTTCCCGGTGGTAACGCTTAGCGGCGGTTAACCAGGTTTGACGGATGGGCACGGTCCGCGGGTCTGTGATGCATCGAGGTGCTGCGGGCTAATGGCTGGCCGTCAGTTACAATCCAGTCAAGATAAGAGGCTTTTAGTCGCATCGTTTTGAAACAGAGATGGGCGAATAAGTGCACCATTGAATGCGTTTCCTGGACGAAGGTTAGCGCTGGTAATAATCAAGGTGAAAATATGCTTTTATCATATGAGAGAATAGGCTGAGTAGTGATCAAGGGATAGAGCCGCCATACCAAATTACTGCACAGTAACCACTACGCCACAGACCAGTCCTGCTGATGCCTTATATATACGAGTACCACCATTCCACCTGACGGCGCTCTCTCAGCGCTCTCTCTGCGACCTGAAATTGGCCGGAGCGCGCGCGGAGAGAGCACCGAGACATTGCCAAGGTCACCACGTTTGGAATGTAAATTACTGTCAAGACCCTCGCCTCACGGCGCACTCGCAGCGCTCTCTCTGCGCTCATTGTTGAATCGCCGTCCTCGACCCTCTCACAGCGATGGTACGTATGGGCCCCTTTAAAACAGTCGCTGAAGTGACGGCGCTCATGGCGCTCTCAGTGCGCTCTCATGGCGACCTTGGCGATCTCTAGACGCTCTCTCCGCGCTCCGGCCAATTTCAGGTCGCAGAGAGAGCGCTGAGATAGCTCCGCCCTGGTGGAATGGGGGCCGTACGGACATCGATCATTACAGAGTTGAGATCGCTACCAGCCCAGACGTGAAGACGTCACTGGACCTCACGATCAATGGCGGCCACACCTCACACGGTTCAGCCGGGGTGGCCATAGAACAGATTTAGTGTCAAAATCTAATTTCTCCGGCATCAAGCATTTAATCTAATCCGCGAGATGCGTCAGAAACCTTTCAGCTTTCCGAGTCTGACCACTTTCGATTTCAGGGGCAAACTTCAAGCATACCTCCTGTGTATTGACATATAAGTGCACTCTGTATCAAGACGGGCAATCCACATCGGACCTTCCAGTGGAACCTGTGGGATGGTGGGGATCTATGTTGGAATATGTTCGTCCTGAATGCGAGCGTAGAGGTCACAAATCTGGGATCGGGAAAACAACAAAAAGTCAAGGTTGCTCGCTGTAAATCGTTCCCTTAGACGTGTACGTTTGTTTTTGTTTGTTTTTGTTTATTTCAACATCTATATAGAACAATGCATAGCCACGCACAAAGCAAGTATGAAAAGGGGAACGTCCGATATATAGGTACAGAATTAGACTATTGATGTTATCTGTATATACTTTATTTCGAAATGAATTTATTTAAATGTATGTAACTGTAACAAAACATTAGGGAACTATCATCGTGCAAGATGTGTAAAGACAGGGAAAACGGCACATTAAATCAACATTGTTTCATTTGCTTTTCTTTGGTCATATTCCTCTCATTTTTCCAGATTCTAAACCCCTTACACGTCTCCAGATTTCGGTAGGCCGTTGACCCTGTTGAATAAGACGGGTCTCTGCGGTAATATTTGACCAACGAAGATCGTAAGGAAGGTGTGAAACTGGTTATAGCACCACATAAAGGGAAGTCGGGAATGTCGGAAATTGAATATCGCCGTTAGATAGAGCACCATAGACTGTATTCATGACTGGCGTTCTGTATCATCAGGGTCTCTAATAGACCATACAACTCTACAATAACACCATACATATGAGCTATAAGGACGGAATGGTAATTTGCCTGCAGTTGTCAAAACACTATTAAATGCTCAAGACTACTGGATTTGGCAAGAGTAGCAAACGTAAATGTCTCCGCGTGTGACCAGTATGCAAATATGTCCTTCAACTTCAGCTTACTCTGTGGATAACGTTACAGTTTGTTTCAGTGCAATACTGGCGACAGTTTGTCTGGTGATGCAGGTCACTTGTGGTAGAACGAGAATTCTAGGAGGGGCATGTTCAACCGCAAATTTAAAAAAATAATGAACCTCCCGAAATGTGATTTCCTGCGTTTTGACAGGATTTCAAACGGAAAATTTCCGTTTTATTCAATGGCAAAGTGGACAGTTTCTTTTTCTAGGATTCCAGCCCCGCTGGTGATACAAATCAATCCGCCTTTCCAAAATAAATCTTGGGCATTAAAAACGGACATTTCAGCTAGCGTGTGTGTGCGAACCACCCCCACACCTGGCCACGGATGTTAGTGAGGTACGGTGAATTCCTTCCACGCCGGCGCCAAGAACAGGAATATTCAAAATTCATCAATAAATCTATGTATATGATGAGACAGCTCCTAGCCAACATTGTACACTTCAGACGTCACCAATCGACACGGCTGTGCCTTCTGTCAATACCTCTTCTAAGACGAGGCAGACAAATTTGATTTTTCACGTCCACAGTTGGCGGGAATTGATTTCAACCGCCGGCGTTCCACAGGTGGTTGCCTGAAGTCGGTAATGTCCTGTTGCTACTTTCCATTAAGTAGTTCCTGGGAGCACGTTTTTCAATCACGACTTCAGTGATTGAAGCATCTGAATCACAAAGGCGAGTACAAATTGAAAGCATCCCATGCAGGGGCTCTTCCCCCCAAGACCGGAAGGAAGAGGCGGTGGTGAAGTGAACTTGTAAGACGTTAGTAGACGACCTGGCTGCCCTTTACTTGCCTTCACTTCATTCTCCAAGACACTAACTTTGCAACCTTCAATTGGAAAGGCCGTGGTCATCTATAAATGTCAAGATTTAGGGAAAAAAATATATTTTCAGGCATAATACGATAATACTGCTTGCCAGGATTTACTATCTTTTTAGGCTATTGTCGAGGAAGCAGCTACGCTAAGCGTTATCATTTAGAAAAGAATCTAGACGTAACGGCGTTGTCACATTCCCCCCTCCAGCTGCGTCTACGTGACCGGGTAGTAGAAACGGTACAGTTTATCTTATTTTCCCATGGACAAAACTTTTGGCTCTCACACAACATCCATGGCTCGCAGGGAAAACGGCAATCAGTGCCGATCCAACACTCATCAAGAAATCGGATTCAGAGTCAACAACCCCAAGAACAAGACCACCACAAAACCACATTACCACCCTATAACTTCAACTTGTCTAAACGTTTGTCGTTTCTACTCCAGCGCAAGCTAGGCTCATAGGTCGACTTTAACGATTTTTCTGGGATGTTTATTCCATATGTTTATGCGTTACTTCCTTTGCCGCTTGTAGTCTTTTTATCTCACCCAACAATTGGAATTTTCCTTTAAAATTTAATGTCATCGACCAGTATAATTTCCAATTCAGTTTTTGTGATTTCTTTCCCATGACCTTGCTTTCTCCATACCTGCAAAGGTGATGGCCTGTTCTATCCACAAAATTTTACTACACCAATAACTTCATTTTTATTGCCTATGCATGAAACTGAGTTCATTACCTGGCAGTACCGCTGAGGTCAACATCCATAGTAGTATATTCGTCAGGGACTGGGTAATACTAAGCCTACCAGGTCAATTGGTCTGGATTGGAGTCTCATCCAGACGGGTACTTCCATAAGCCCACGCCAGAGTTCAAGTGCATTTATGTCAACTTTCCATACGTTCGTTGTTGTTGTTGATATTACATGGTACATAATCAGCTGAAAACATTGTATAGCTACAAGTACAAGCCATGATGAAAATTAGGACCGTTTTACGAGAAAATGTGTAATGCTGGCAGATGCATTCTCGTTCCCTGGGAACGAGATGACCTTATGACCACGTGACCTAATTTGAGCTAATTCGGTACCAGAACGAGGCTGCGCGGCCAGTACAAATTACGACGCCATCTTGTTGTTCTCGGTGGTTTGAAGTTTACGAGATTTCCTCCGTTTCTTCCTCATTTTAGGGTGAGTTGTTTTAGTACATTTTCTGAACGTATACATGTCAATGTCCAGGTGCGACCGATGTTGTGTTTACACTGTATAATGATCAAGATATATTTGAAACTCGCCGTTAGTTGATAGCTGCCCCCCCCCAAAGAAAAACACTCCTTGACAAGACTGTTCAAACCAAGGAGCTTTCCTTGTTCAAACTAAATCAAAGTAAATAAGTTGAAGTAGGCAGCACCTTTCGTCAGGGCTTGAAATACTTTTTCCTGTACACCTCCACTGGTGCAGGTAACACTGAAAATTACCCGCACCAGACAAAATATTTACTTGCACTCAGCTTCTGAGAAGTACATGTATACTAAATTATTTGATCATACTAAAACTGTTCAGATTGTCTAGTGGAAGAATGACATAACATAATTTGACATAATTTTTATACATACTTGTCTTCAATATACTAGTAGGTGATTACAGTGAATGCATCAAAATCCACACACACCGGTACCTATATTTTGTATATAATTTTATAAATCCAGTGCATCATTCATGGACCTTATTTTGAGCCCTGTACCAGGAAGCCAATTTAAATTGTATTCACAGCATGATCAGTAGTTAACACTAAAACTACCCACCCACAGGCCAGAACGTTAACCTTCAGCGTCCCGGTATGGAGAACATCCCGCCAGGCCACGAGAGGTTTGACTTCCCGCGGCTCACCATACAGCAGATCGCGCTGGAGTGTCGTGAGGGCGCGCTGGGACCGGACGCCACCTGGCTCACAGAGGACCACCTGAAAAAACCAGAGGTACATCATCGGTTCCTAATTACTCACCTGTAATGTCCTGATGAATTTGTAGGTTCAGGCAAGATGTGGTATAATATAAGTTACTAGTACTAGTAGGGGTTAGGGGGGTACTTTAGACTTTTGAGAAAGTTTTCCAATTTACAGGTAGAATTTATCAAGATTAGGAAGAAAACTCAAGTTCATTCAAGGAAGTCAAGCAATAACCTCCTTGTAAATTTATGTTTTATTTATGACTTTTATTAACTTGTATGTAACATTATTAGTAATTTATTACATATTACCTCATTAAAGTTCAAGCCTTGATAAATGGTAGTACAAATTTTGGATTACTAAAACTTGATCCATAGATTGGCTGTTCATATTTCTTTTCTATACGTTCTAGACTTCTTAACATGATAAATAGGTTACACATAATTTCATAAACTTGTATACATATTGGGACTGGGATTCATGTATCATTTGTGAAATTTTGTCTATCTTGAACTGGAACCCTTTTTCTTTCCTACAGGTTGACACCATACAGAGTGTATATGGTATCATACTGCAGTTTTCCCTCAGCATCTCACAGGAGCAGATCACTCAGGTAGAATTCATTCATTCACACATAGTGATTTTTAGGAAACTTAACACGTGTATGTTTTGTGAATAATTCTTTGAAAAGGAAAAGTACTCGTAAGCATTCAAGTCAATGGGCTGAAAAAATTGATATTAATGCTTTTCTTCTGTTCCAGGTGCAGTTTGAGGGAACTGAAGAACTGGAGCACAAAGACATCCATGAGGAGGCTATCCCTCAGGTCCACTTCTTCTTTGCCATGTAAGTACACTGTACATGTACATGTGCATGTGTCACTTGCCTTGTTCCACCATATGTATAATACATAGGTTCTCACTGCGATGCAATAACAGTTTTAGCTATTATATTGCTGCAGTCTCATATTATTTCAAGACTTAGTACATGTTGTATCTTGTATTGAGTCTGACAGTATCTTTTTTTTGCTCTTCAGGCAACGTTTCATGGAGTCATGTGGAGCACAGGACTTCAAAATTAAGGACATTCTGGATCCAAGTGGGTATTGTTACTGTGCTCATTTTTCTCAGCAGGATAGACATACACTTACTTTTGTTTATTATGGTTGCTTTATGTAATTAGATTTACAGTTTATTGTTGAAATTCTGTTTGATATGTACTTTTTGTATTTCCGTTTTCTATTTTCATCAGAACCCAAGAGAACAACCAAGTTCCTGAGTGCTGCCATCAACTTCCTAAAGTTCCGTGATCAGAGATTGCAGACTTACGAATCAATCAAGGAAGAAAAGGTAGATCCGGAAGCCTTTAAGCACCCTGTATGTCGATTTAGAGTCTGGGCGGAAGTTTATCAGGCATGTTGCCTGAAGATGATGTAACTGTAGAGCTGATAATGTGATTGTTTTGTTGATACTGCGCAGGTTGCCGTGCAGGAGGAGTATGCCAGGCTCCAGAAGAGTAACGACGAGCTTCGGGCAAAAATCAACCAGATCAGGTAAAGTGTGTTCTGGTGTTTCCTGGGAGGTTTGCAGAGTAGAAATGATGCTGGCAGCAGGGATTAGAGTACCTGTGTCGTGACATCTGCAGGCAGATATAGCAGGGTTGGAAGGAGAGGATGTAGTTTGGGAAGCTTTTATGAAAATTTACTATGCATTCTACGCCCAGTAGATCTCTGTTCTTATAAGAACAGTCGCCTTTATGAGAACTGGATTCAAGTTGGCCGCAGGCAATACCTAATACATGTAATACAGGTAGCCATTTCCGTATCAAACTTGTTTGTCAGCTTTTTTTTTTTCATGTGTATTAGATATTAGCAATAATAGAAGTACTATATATATACTAGCCACAATATAGCCATAGGGCTTCAAATGATGTGCTGCACTTGTATGTTTGCACAAGTTTGAAAGTTACTTCTTGAAAGAAGGAATTTTTCATAGCGCTATCGGAAAATTGCTACTATGAACAATGAATTAGAACTGAGTTGTCAAAAACAGTTTGCAAAGTGATGCATTTTGTAATTTTAGTCATTATTTCTTTAGTCACGCTGAAACTTAAATGCCCAATTATTGCAGCTTCGTGCTAAAATAGACCATTTAATGCCACCAGTTGTCATAGTTTTGAGTAATGAATGTAATAACCTTGTTTCAGACTTTACCAGAATATACTGTCATGGTGGTCCAACATTGTATTGGCTTTATCAGTCTGAGTTATTTCAGTGACACGGCTAAATTGAGAGACCCGATATTTGACCTTTGTCCACCTACAGGGCAGCAAGAGCTGAGCACGAGCCTCAAGTTCGTGAGGTGGGTACAAAACACCTTACAACTGTCGTTATCACTTCTGTTGCTTTTGTTTCATTTTTTTTTTGCAGCATGGATGATGTGTGAGTTTGTGCTGGTTGTGAAGTGTTCCTTGTATTTGTCACAGGTTCAACAGGAGGTTGACAAGCTCAAGGCTGTGATACAGGAGGGCCAGAGACATCAGGTGTGTATTAAGTGTACATGTCATGTTACGCCTTATGGTCACAATTCACAGCGCAGGGCCCAGCTGGACACTTTCACACTGGGAACACAGAATACAATAATAAAAGACAGGAAACTCTAAAAAAAGTTTTTATAAACTAATCATGATGCATGAAAACAATTTGTGTGTATTGTTCATTCACACAAACAGCCTGGTTTGCATGCAATTGGTCAAGGTTTGGAAATGTGACCAGTAATGATTACCATGTAATGTTTATCATGTACTAATATGTACTGTACTATACTAAACTGTTACAGCAAGCCACTGGTATACATGTATACTGCTTGCTAAGGTACACAATTAGAAAGGTTTGGCTGCAGTATTTGCTTCCTTTCTATGTAATTTTTCTCATGCATTGTTATAATTCATACCCTTGAAAGAAACATCTCCATCATACAATTGATTAATACTCATGTAACTTTCCCTTCATCCATCCAGGTCGGTGCCAATCCATGGAATAATTTGGCGACAATCCACGTCTTTAACCACTCAGAAATTAAAGCAATCTGTGCACTTGCCAAGGCAGGGACATTATACAGACAGACCAAAATCAATATCTCAAAATCTATAGGAACTAAACTTTCCTATACACATTTGTACACTCTGCCTGTTGAAACATAAATGAGATCAACTGCGTGACAAATATCAGCACAAGAGATTGCTAACATTATAAAGTTGGGAGTTGTATTGTTGAGTGTGGAGTCAAACTGTGACTGTACATCACTGTCATTTATCTCAACAGGAGACGCAATCTTCAGCCATGGCAGAGATCGAGAAGACCATTGAAGGAAGGAGTACAAAATTGGTGTGTATATGACTCCTGGAGAATTACATGTACATTTAAGTTAACATGTTTTATTGAATGATTTTTCTTACTAATGTTACAGGTACCTTGACATTCGTGTTGCCACTGATGGAATGAATTGTTTTTATGGTCTGTTTGATGTAATTTCAGAGCTCAGAAATACCCACATGTCATCTGCAATCCGCAGTTAAACCCTGTAATTGCAGGAGAAACCTCATGTTTCACTCTGTATTAAGAGATGTTTTTCACCCAAAATGCTCTCAGTTTGATTGCTACTCCATAACTTGCTCAACTTTTGCCCCAGGAAACTTCATCATTCCTGTATAATACAATCTAGGGTCACTGCAGGTGACTTCAGCAAACTGATTCGGGGTCTATATTATAATACTATGATTTAGGCCCATACACACATTTTAAACCAGCAAAGGAATGTTTCCTTCTGGTAACAATCCTGTGACTGTGAGTGTAACCCTTCATAAATCCTGAAAAAAACTAACTTAAGGCTTTAAAATATGGCTGTAACCATCGAAACTTTACAAAACTTTTCCCTCAAAATGCAGGGGGATTGAGTGTCTTGGGGTTGGGAATTTTTAAATTTTCATGAGGAGGTTGACAGACACCTCTACCGTACATACTGTGATCGTGTCTTCCGGTACCTTGTGTGGCTTGCTCCTGACCAATAATTGCCTTCTGTACCTGACTGCTGTGCTGTGAAAAAATTCTGGTGAGAATCCTATTGAAAAACAGAAATGTTGCAGGTGAATTTGTGACCCGAAGTTTCAACTTGCAATCCATCATTCTTCGAATGGGGTGCAAGGGTGTCAGGCCTTAAGATGGAGATTAAAGAAGCTCTAAGTTCTGAATGGAGCCATTGTCAAAAGTGCATCAGCCTATCCACAAAATACCCACTCTCTCTGATAGGCAGAAACCCTCCTTGCTCTTGTCAAAAACCCTATTTACACAAAATGAAGTTCACCGTTTGGAAGATGTGTTGCATACGGTATCTCACACTGCCGTGAATGCATGAACACCATGTACCACCCAGGGACTCGATTGATGTCTTTGTTAGTATGCTTATCTACAACACCTTGTCACATGTACATCTGATGTATGTGTGCGTGTATGTGACCCCAGCCTTCAAACCAAGTCATTAAGCCTTACCGTTGTCACAACTGGACTAAATTGTAACTATTTTCCCGTGACTCTGGGGGCAAAGTCATTAGGGTTGGCTGCTCGTGGAATTTAGAGTAAGCACCATGAAGTCTTTGATGTGAAGGGGGCCATTGTTGATACCTGAGTGGAAGGCTTCATTTTGGAGGTTGTAATGGGCAAAGCTGGATGGATTTCTAAGTGTTCCACATCAGAGAGCATGTCTGACAGGATTTATGGAATCAGAGCAGAATGGGAGAACTTAAAATTGCAGAGAGTTATCAAGAATCCATTAAACGTAGGCAAAATGTGAACCTTGAGGCACTGTACATCAAGGACATCAGAAGAAAAAAAGCACCAGGGCAAAAAGGGCAGGTTTACCACAATCTATCACCTGCTTGTTAAAGGTCTGGGCTTCTGGGCATCTTTTTTCCCCTGAAACTTATTGAGATAATAAGTAGTGTGCGCTGAATATTCTATGCTCGCATAAAGTGATTGGATTACTCTGCTAAAAGCATGGTTTGATCATCATCAGTTGGACTTCATGTGCTTTACTGTCATCAGGCCCGGCTGAAGGACGACATCAAGAGCACTAAAGAGGAGGGGGACAAGCTGCGCTCCAAAATCGTCCAGTCTCCGGAGAGGATGAAGGGGGAGATGGGGCGCATGGAGAGGAGCATCAAAACTCTCAAGGTCACCAAGGAACAAAAGGTAAAAACAACAAAGTGTGGAACTGTGGCTGATATTTGTTAGAATTTAAATGTTACAGCTACGATGTGTCAATAGGAAATGAATGGCAATTGTTCCAGTGTCTGATCTTTTTTCAAGAACACTCTTCACAAAACACCTTGTAGCTTTAATCTATCATTAGACAAAAGCCAAAATAAGTTTTGTTTGTTTGTTTGAACCTTATGTTTTATTAATGAGAACAGGCTGCATTTTATTGAAGCCATATTAGGGAAGATAAAATATATAACTTATAAGAAAGATACAGTTTATATGACTTTCAAGTCCTAATAATGTTGTAATAAAAGTTTGCTTGGTTTATGAAGACACAACCAAAGGCTAAAGAAGACAGGGTTTCAAGACGAAATAAGATGAAAACTTAGAATAGCCTGCAGTGACTGTCAGTACAATATTACATTCTATTCAGCAGAGAACATTAAACACAACCTCTTGCCTAGAGAACTTGAAATCATCATTATCTTCAAGAAGTAGCCTCTCCAGCTTATAAAAAGGCAAAAGAAATTGATGATGATGACTTTTCCAGTGAAATTTATGTGCACATAAAGGTGGGCTGTAAAATCCTCTGGAAGCCCCCTGGCTTTATGTAGTGTATATGTGAGGGCTTGTCTGCTGACAGTACAATTATTTCATGTGATAAAAGCCCTACATGCACAGACCTTCTTTTCAAAATCAAGTACAAAGAAGCACTATACATGTAAGATTCCCTAACATACTGGCCAAGGGCAAAAGATGGGTAAAGTTTTGCTTCAAAGTTACTCAGTGCCTATCATTCAAACCAAAGAGGTCCAGCCAAACTCAAAGTTGTTGCTGAACAACTGTACTGTATGTATGATTCATATGTATTTATGTAAGATAGGACTGTTTAACCATAGGGCTGCTGCAGATTGACTGATGGGGGCCATATACATTGTGTAAAAGGTGTAAGATTAAAGACCTGAAATACAAATGCTGAAAGCAACAATCATGCACACAGATTTCTCTACAAGACATGAGTAAAACTGAAAGGGTCAAGCCAGGACAATAGCCTGAGAGTGTGGAAGTATTCACCAGCAAGCAGTTTTGTTTCTCCAATGTTGAGTGGTGTCTTGAATGTTCTTCCTGAATGTCCAGGGCCAGAGACTGGTGGAGCTGCATGAACAGCAGCACAATAACCAGGCCATGGGTGAGAACTGTCAGCAGGGCCTGAAACTCATCTCACTCATCCAGGCAGAGTGTGACGAACAGAGGTCAGTTTAGATGAACATGTATATATTATATAAATCAGTCAGACAAGTCAGAGATGTATTGCCTTCAAAAATGATAACAAATTAACATAGTCATCTGTCACTTCTTGAAGATTGTTACCTCCATGTATAGAAGCTTTGTTTTCAGTGTGTTCATATGTGTTTGCTTCAGTGTGTCTGTAGTCACATGAATTTGAATACAGTAGAGTCACGGGACGTGAGGGGAAAATGGTGGTAACCACAGACTGACAGGAAGGTCAAATTGGAAGTCAATTCTATCCTTTTTCCTGTTGTCTTTTTACAAAATAGTCAATCAGAAACTCAACATTTCAAAAGATCTGGCCAAATTTCTAAGAGTTTCAATCCATTTGGGATGACCTGAAATGACTGGCAAAACATTGTCTCCACTTTCTTCTTTAATGTGCTGTCTTTGGTCTGAAAAACATAGCCTTCTTTATTGTTGAAATGGGGAGAGCTGTTTTGAAGAGCCTTCCAGGTACTACATGTAGGAGTAAAGTACATGTATCTGTACCTTTCATCTAGAAAAATCGCTCTTCGCACAGAAATAGATGGCCATACTTCTTTGATCGCAGAGAAAATTTGTCACTGTTCAAAGCGTTTTAGATGTCAGTGATACTCAAAGTATAGTGTGGTGTTTTCTGTAGCAGTTTACTCTAATCTTTGTCATCACTTACAAGCTGAATGCTACTATTATGATCTTCGTACTGTAG